GGCGGGTCCGGGCTGGGGATTCGAACCCGCCACCTTAGGTGTACGTGGCTGGCGCCTTAGCCGGTTGAGCTATAGGCGTCGAGCCTAAAAATTTTTCTAACTACAAACACTAAGTACAAGTCTCAAAGAAGAAAGCAAGTTTCCACCTTGTTGCTTTTATACCATTCTGAAAAAAACATCAAAGACCTAAAATTTTTAAAATGTGTTTTTATAAAGAATGTATTCAAAGATTTTGACCCACTACAGAAAGTAAGAATCCCACTCTTTAAGAAAAATATACAGATTTTTGTAAGAGTTAAGTTCTGAGAGATTCAAGGCTGATGCCAAGTCTTTAGATTTCTACTGCTTCAATTCCAAAGGACCACTGGATAGCAATTTTATTTAGTATACAAAACTTCGCTATGCTGTATAGTTCCTTTTCTCCTGTGTCAGACAGCTTTATTCTGCTTCATTAACCCCTTCTTTGCTCCTTGATGGATCTTGGAATCCAGTTTCCCTGTAAGGGAAAAAAAGAAGTCTCATTATTTATTTTTTATATTTGCAATGCAAATCTTTTGTGGCCTCCCAGGTCTTCTGGTTACTGTGTTCCTGTCACATTCAATTATCTTGCTTCAGGACTCAAACACTTCCAAACTTCAGAGAATGAGGAAGCAGTGGGAACACTAATACACACACAAAATGAGTACCGTCCTGTCCCCAAAAATAAGACATTAATATTTCTAAGTTTATAGCTACAGAGAAAAGAAACATCATGTGTTTTAGGATATCTGATGCTAAGGTAAATTTCTTTAGGAACACACACATGTAAAAAAGGAAGGCATTTCACACAGTGGGAACCCCATTCCCCAGACCAGTTAACTGAATGAGCATAATGCAATAATGCATGAACCTCCTTCACAGTGGGAAAAGCAGTTTAACTCACCCCTCTCTGCCTCATTCTTAATGGGAGGAGTGACCTGAAACTGGAATAGAATCCACATGAATGCTTTTCTGACAAAGGGCCCCTATCATCAGCTAAGAAGGGTAAAGGTGATATGCTGTGTGATTCTTCTAAGTGTTAAACTTAGAAAACAAGCACCCTTCCTATTCCAGGTGACGCTAATAAGAGGTACTTTACTGAAGTGGTCTCTGACTTCTGACTCCTTTCAGGCGTCCTCAAACTACAGCCTGTGGGCCACATGCAGCCCGCCTAGGACATTTATCCAGCTGGTCCAGTGTTTTTGCTGCTGCTGCCTGTCCTGCTTAGCAGCCGACTGTCCCAGGGCCCGCAGTCCGGCCCTCCAATGGTCTGAGGGACAGTGAATTGGCCCCCTGTTTAAAAAGTCTGAGGACCCCTGCATCTAGCAGGGTTGAGTTTGGCTTAGGGCAGTGGCTTTAGGAATCATCCATCCACCTCACTAGAAGAATCTTAACAGATCCTGTTGTTTGGCCTAAGAACGGTTTGCAGTTTGCTTTCTCTCACACAAATTCTTATTTAACAATGCTGCTTGGGGCAGCACCTGTGGCTCAAAGGTATAGGGCACCAGGCCCTATATGCCGGAGGAGGGTTCAAACCACAAAACAACAACAACAAAAAACCAATGATGCTGAAAATAGAAACATAGTTCAGTTCAATCTCAGTACTAAAAAATAAAACAGAACAAGGAGTCTCCCCCTTCTAGGACAGCCAGGTATCCTATAGGCCCATACCCCACAACTATAGCTTCTCTTATGTTATCCTTTTCATTTGTTACAGCAATGAGGTATAACAGAAATACCACTGAATAGAAGTCAGAAGACCCGGATTCTAGTCTACCTTTCTCAGACATTAAGTAGCTGTATGACTTGGGACAAGTCATTTCATCTCTCTGCATTTCAATATTCTCATTTGTCCAACTAAGAATACTGCACTAAGAGATTGTGAAAAAAATAACATCGGCCTAACAAATATCTCTGTTTTCTTTTTTTCAAGATAGAGTCTCACTTTGTCACCCTTGGTAGAGTGCCATGGCATCATAGCTTACAGCAACTTCTAACTCTTGGGCATAAGTGATTCTCTTGCCTCAGTCTCCCAAGTAGCTGGGACAACAAGTGCCTGCCATGCCTGGCTATTTTTAGAGATGGGGTCTCGCTCTGGCTCAGACTGCTCTGGAACTTGTGAGCTCAGGCAATCCACCTGCCTTGGCCTCCCAAGTGCTAAGATCATAGGCATGAGCCACTGTGCCCAGCTTTCCTATTTTCTTTCTTTTTTATTTTTTTGAGGGCTCAAGCGAGTCTCCTGCCTCAGCCTCCCAAGTAGCTGGGACCACAGGCACCCGCCACAACGCCCAGCTATTTTTTTGGTTGCAGCCGTCATTGTTGTTTGGTGGGCCCGGGCTGGATTCGAACCTGCCACCTTAGGTGTATGTGGCTGGTACCTCAGCCACTTGAGCCACAGGCGCTGAGCCAGCTTTCCTATTTTCTTAAGTCTTTCCCAACTTCTACCCTTGTCTCTTTCTTTAGGGCTATACATGTTTCTGCAATAAGGTAACAGTCCTTTCCTGGGCTTCTTCAGTAACCATCACTAAATGATACTTAACAATCACAATGCTATTGATTTTAATTTGGGCTTTAGAGCACAGGGTATTCTCACCTAGTGATTTAGGAGTTCTTTCATACCCTATGGTGCCTGGCTGGAAAACTGAACATGCGAGTAAACCTTTGAATCTCCCTAATGCTACCATAGTGACTGTCAAATAGTACATGCTCAACAAATGCTTCATCAAACGCATTAGACAAAGAAGGTGGCCAGCTATACTTAATGAGTTAAGCACCCCAAATCCAAAAATCCCAAATCTGAAATGCTCCAATATGCATTTCCCTTGAGCATCATACTGGAGCTCAAAGAGTTTTTGGTTTTGGAGCATTTCAGATTTCATATTTTTTGATTTGGGATCCTCAACCTGTAAATGAAATATGTTAAAGTGCTTCATAAATTCAAAGTCTCCTGAAAAGGCAAGAGTGATTGTACTGTTTATGCTGAGGCTTGAAAGTTGTTTATCGGCTCGGCGCCTGTGGCTCAACCGGCTAAGGCGCCAGCCACATACGCCCAAGGTGGAGGGTTCGAATCCCCAGCCCGGGCCCGCCAAACAACAATGATGGCTGCAACCAAAAAATGGCCGGGCGTTGTGGCGGGCACCTGTAGTCCCAGCTAGTTGGGAGGCGGAGGCAGGAGACTCGCTTGAGCCCAGGAGTTGGAGGTTGCTGTGAGCATGATGCCATGGCACTCTACCCAGGGGGATAGCTTTGAGTCTCAAAAAAAAAAAAAGAAAGTTGTTTATCTTAGTTATGGTCACAATTTCACCTTAAATTACCATAAAACCCCAGGCAAGTCTTTTAATTACATTTATTTCAGATTCCTCATATTAAAAGACATCATCTTCCTTACATTCTCAAAGCTTTACTGTGTAAGAACATTCCAAGTCTAAGTTTCAGAAAACTCGTCTGTGAAAGCACTCAAGGGAGACCAGATCATGTAAGATTAACACATAAGAAAAAAGCACTCAGTGGTAGGGAAAAAAAATCTCTGGCTTCCATGATGATGTCATCAAATGGAAAACAGGTTGAAGAAAATATGAGAGGAATAAGGATTTCTGGGGCATTCCCAGGGATTCATAAATTCTTTTATCTTCTAAGCTGTCTAAAAACTAGACATTGCCAACAATCTGTGAACTCCCTGTAATCACGGGATTTTTTTGTATTCCTAACATCTAACCAGAAAGACTGCCAACAGTAGCAGGTGGGGCCATAAAGCCAAAGGACTTGGCTCCTGGGGGAAAGAATCAGTCATCAGGGCTGTCCTCTAACTGCAGAAACTCTGAGCTCTGAGTTCTAGATCAGCCTAGGCTTTCAAGACTTGGAATCTGGACAGTGAACTCAGTGATGTACAATATATTCTCTTCATAGTAGATTGACAATACTTAGATTTCTGTTTTTCACCAATGTTTTTACATTTAATAAATGTCACACCTTTTTATGCCACACCTTTAATCATAGTATCTAAGAGAAAACAAATGCATGTGCAGCAAATAAGCAAGAGGTTGAAAGTAGCAAAAGTATTTGTCATTAATCAATGCAACTCTCAGAGGAATTTTCACATGCTTTGGATAAAATATCAGACAATATTTGCATGATTCCTTTTTTTTAAATTTTGAGACAGAGCCTCAAGCTTTCGCCCTAGGTAGAGTGCCGTGGCATTACAGCTCACAGCAACCTCCAACTCCTAGGATAAAGCAATTCTCCTGCCTCTGCCTCCCAGGTAGCTGAGACTACAGGCACCTGCCACAACACCTGGCTATATTTTTGGTTGCAGCTGTCATTGTTGTTTTGTGGGCCTGGGCTGGATTCGAACCCACCAGCTCAGGTGTATGTGTGTGGCTGGTGCCTTAGACCCTTGAGCCACAGGTGCCAAGCCATGCATGATTCCTTTTGTCTCCTTTTGTTTTTTTTAGACAGAGTCTCACTTTGTCACCCCCAGTAGAGTGCGGTGACATCACCACTCACAGCAACCACTCAACCTCACGTGCTTGTTGTTTGGCAGGTCCAGGCTGGATGTGAACCCACCAGCTCTGGTGAATGTGGTTGGCACCCTAGCCACTGAGCTAGGAGACACTGAGGCTAGCGTGTTTGAGCCCAGCACGGGCCTGCTAAACAATAATGACTACTGCAACAACAACAACAAAAAAAGCCAGGAGTTGGGGTGGATGCCTATAGTACCAGCCACTTGGGAGGCTGACGCAAAAGAATTGCTTAAAAACAAAAGTTTGAGGTTGCTATCAGCTGTGACACTACAGCACTCTGCAGAAGGCAACATAGTGAGACTCTGTCTCAAAAAAATAAATAAATAAAAATAAAATAATTGTATCTCTTAAAATGAAAATATTTAAGAAAACAGCAATGTGCAATATGATAGCACTTGGTTGTGTGTCTGCTCAAATTATGAAATGCAATAAATTTAATTAATAATAGAATCCCCAGGTTGGATACTTAAAGGAAACAAAGGAATTTTTGAGCCTGGTGGGTTCAAATCCAGCCCGGGCCAGCTAACCAACAATGACAACTACAACAAAAAATAGCTGGGTGTTGTGGCAGGTGCCTGTAGTCCCAGCTACTTGGGAGGTTAAGGCAAGAGAATTGCTTGAGCCCAAGAGTCTGAGACTACTGTGAGCTGTGACACTATAACACTCTATCAAGGGTGACAAAGTGAGACTCTTGTCTCAAAAAGATAATAATAGTTGTAATAAAAACACAAACAAATCAAAATATGTATCTTTAATTTTAGGCATTTATACATGCATATATACATTGTAACACAATATGTAAATGAATATTTTCAAGTCAAAAGTTTGGAACTTGAAGCTGGGCACAGTGGCATGTGCCTGGAATCCCAGCTACTTAAGAGGCTAAGGTGGGAGGATCTTTTGAGCCTAGGAGTTTGAGGCCAGCTCGGGGAACATAACAAAAACTCATTTCAGAAAA